TTTGTTTCTTCCACCTTTTCCTTTCCTCTTTACCTTTAGTGGCTGGCCATTTATTGCCTGCCACTACATCAATACCTTCCCTCGCCATTCTCAATCTCTCTTCACCATCCCAAAGCCCTCTCTGACCAACCACATCCCTACCCAGTCTACTTCCACCATGACTACCATCACACTGAACTTTCTGATTAAACTCTCCTATGGTGACGATACTATAGAGGAGGTCTTGTGAAAAAATAACTTGAAGCTACAGCTTAACACCTCTCATTCTTGTTGCTTTTTCAATATGAAAAAAAATTAAAAAATGAAAAGGTCATCTTATTCAAAACCCCTGTTAGAATAGTAGAGAGAGAGAGGGGAAATAACATGTATTGTAATAAATGAATGGTATTGAATGAAAGGCCTGTATATATAGGCTGTAAAAGAGTATTCTACTAAAAATCTAACTATGAGAAAAAGTATCCTATAAGAGACCTAACTATAACAATACCTAATATATCTAGGAAATCAATACCTAATATATGTAGGAATATATACTATATATACATGAACATTCCCCCTCAAACTCAAGGAGGATAAACATCTTGAGTTTGGAGAGAAAAACTAAAACATGAAATAAAACTAAATAAAATAAAAGGCAAATAGATTGCAAAATCTGAACGAGAGGGCAAGGGCGCTTGAAATAGATCAGAGGCCGGAACTAAAGCGGAGAGACAGTTTATGGTCATTTTGGACCATTGTAAGAATTGGCTGAAACTAATGCCAGGGCAATTTAAGGTCGCGTCGGACCGGATATAGAAACTAGCTGGAATTAATGCTGAGAGACAGTTTATGGTCATGTCGGACCATTGTAGGAACTGGTTGGAACTAATGCCAGGACAGTTTAAAGGGGTTATGCCGGACCAATGTAGGAGCTAACCGAAATCAATGTTGAACAATTTAAAGAGGTCATGCTAGACCAATGTAGGAACTAATTGAAATCAATGTCGGGACAATTTAAAAGGGTTATACCAGACGGATATAAGAGCTAACCAGAATCAATGTCGGGACAGTTTACGGGGTCATGCCGAACCACTGTAGAGACTGGATGTTAAACTAGCAAACGTGACACACACATAACTTATGACGTGGTACTGAACGATGATGACAACAGATGACTGAGTGCGCTAGGAGGCGGCTTGGATGGTGCTCCAGGGGGCGAGTTTGGTGGTGCGCCAGAGGAAGCGGCTTGGATTGTGCGCTAGAGAGAGGCGGCCTAGGTTGTGCGCCAGAGAGTACGGCTTGGATTGTGCACCAAAGGAGGTAGCTTGGGTGGTGCGCCAAGGGGCGACTTAGGTGGTGCGCCACAAGGGGCGGTTTAAGTTGTGCGCCATAGGAGACGGCTTAGGTGGTTTGCATGGTGTATAACCATACTCACAATGATATAGGTATAATACATCCCCTCAAACTCAAATAGTTTGGAAAAGAGAAACCAATTTGAGGTTGAAGTAGAGGAAAAGATACAGTGGAGAAAAAAATGTATTGCGAATAAAAAAAAATATAATAGAGATATTTGGGATAGGAATAAACAGCAGACAAAAGGAAGAGATTACCACGAAGCGATACTGACAAGAAAATATGATAGCGGAATAGGTTGAGGTCCGGCGGGCGGCCAATGCGAGGTTGCCACCCGCCGATGAAATGAAATTGCCAAGTACTTAACCTAGCTCTAATACCATGTTAGAATAGTAGAGAGAAATGAAATAATATGTATTGTATTGAATGATAGAAAGCCTGTATATATAGGCTGAGAAAGAGTATCTCATTATAAATCTAACTATGAGAAAGAGTATCCTATAAGAGACCTGACTATGGTAATACCTAATATATCTAGGAAATCAATAACTAATATATGTTGGAATATATACCATATATACATTAACATTAAATGGGTTGTTAGGTTTAGATAAGTCCTACCTAATTGCTGCAAACTAACCAAGCTGTTGAACAACTCGAGTTTAACTCATTTAAGTTCGACTCGTTTATTACGTGATCGAGCTCAAGCTCAATTTTTAGGCTTATTTATTAATCGAGCTGAGCTCGAGTAGTTCTAAACTCGACTAGATAAAACTTGTGAAGATAAAGAAAATAAATATATAATCACTTTTAATAATATATCAAATAAATTTATAATAATTTATTTTATTTTTCTATTTGTGTTTGGTATCTGTGTAAATTTACATATTTGATTGATGAAATTTATTATTAATATAAACATTATTACATTATTATTTTTTTTGCTCGTAATTTTTTATTTTTTATCTTAATAAGTAAATTAATTTAAGGTTTTTTTTCAAGCCCAAACTCAAACTCGAACTCAAACTCAAACTCGGCTCATTTATATAATTGAGCAAGGTCAACTCGAGCCAAACTCAAGTTTATCAAATATTTGGCAAACTGAACTCTCGAGCTCAAATAATTCTTGACAAACAAGCTTGAGCATTCAAAAGTTCGGCTCAACTCGATAATTCTTAAAAATATTTGTTCTAAAAAAAATATTCATTACCAATAAATAAATATTTGGTTTTAATTTCATTTTAATTTTTTTAAGTAGAAATTAGTTTTAATAAAAATAAAAATCAAAAATATATTTTAAAAATTATTTGTCCTCAAAAAAGTAAGAGCATATAAAAATGGTGAATGATTTTTTATTTATTACTCCTTCCGTCCCAATTTATTTGTTCATTCTAGAAAATCCAACTTATTAGAGAGGCATGCAAACATTACAGTATAATTCAAATTTTAAAATATTTTTTCCTCCATTTATAATGATTTATAATGGGCAATTTTGAAAATTTAACAAAATTTAGTATCCCAAAATAAAAAGTGGACCAAAAAACTAGGTCGGAGGGAGTATTATTCTTCACTAAATTAATCTTAGTTTTTTTTTTTTATATAAAAAAAAGTTTCACAAAACATTATTCTGAATATATAGTTTATTATTAATTTAAAAATATTTTTATAAATCTACAGTGAGCTAATATTTTCACTTTTATTTATGACGTTTTAATCAAAATTACAAAATGAGTTTTTGTTGCAGGTCTATGATGATCTCAATGTGAAGGGCTTAATAATGGCAGCCGTTTTTATGTACCAAAGTCAAATTTTAACACCACACTTTACTGCAGAGCAAAAAAAAAAATACACACTTTACTGTTTGTGAAATATATGGTATCGTAAGTTGGCTCAAACACTCAATTATAAAAAGAAGAAGAAGAATAAATAAGAATAGAATTTTTGTGCTCTCTCTACTTCTGCTCTCTCCTAGAAAGGTTTCAACTTTGGTTTTATATAAGTCAGTAAGGTTCGGATTGAGATAAAATCAAGATCAATTCGTTATCTACAGTTCTTGAAAAATTAGAACAGATCCAATCCGTTTAAATAGTGAAACCAATGTAAATCAATCCATTTAAACACGGATTGGATCGGTTGAGGACCATAGATTCACATAATTAAATAATAAAAATATATAGAATATTTTAATTTATAAAAACATAAATATAGCATCAAACAAAAGCAATAAACAAAAATAACAAACAAAAGCAATAAAACTGGATACATATTACACAGAGCAGCGTTCTCCTCTATATTAAAACTAAACATACCATCAAACAAAAACAATAAGAAAATTGGTTTAGCTTTTATATGAAATAAAAAATGATATTATGTGGGAGAGTTTATAATATAAATATAGACTACTTGTATATGATCCGAAATGGTTCTAATTCAGAATCGTGGGGTTTAATCTGAAACAGATCCGTGGCTTACGAATTTTAAATTTTCAATCTAGAACCGAACCATAGATTTAAAAACCAATTCAAACTTAACGAATTAGACTGAATCAGATCAAATTACGAATTATACGAATTTCTCGCTCACTCTAATTTATAATACTTATGTGTTTATCTCTTAAGCACTTGAAACCTCTGTAGCCCTTGCACAATGATTAGATTACTTGCTTCCATACTCTCAATAACATTGACCATGTACTTAGAAAAATAAAAATTTCTGAACAGTGGAATTATTCAATAATTCAAAAATATTGGCAAAATTCAACTTTTTTTTAATAGTATAATTATTACATTTCAAAAATATTAAATTTCTAAAACTATCATTTGATTTAAAATTAAAATAGTATAATTTTTTTGGAGAACATTAATGTTTATGAATTTTATGTGTATATTAATGTTTATGAATTTAAAATTAAACAGTATAATTGTCATAATTACACTTTTTGTGTATATTAATGTTTATGAATTTTGAAGAATGGCAAAATAAAAAATTTATATTACTTTAGTGTTTGATTTTTCTAAAAAAATTAATATTTTAAAATAAAATAAAATGTTAATATTTTGAGACGGAGGAGAAATATAGTACACATGGTGAAAATGAGATTATATTCCTAGGATACGTGAATGGTGAAAAACAATCAAGGTCCTACCTGCAATTTAGAAAGTACCACCGACCAGCAATGGAGACAGAGACCACACACAAAAATTTAAAGGAAAATGTTTTAGACTCTAAAATAAGAATTTTAAAAGGGTTTTAATTTTTCTTTTTTCTTATTATGATTTGTCTTTTTTCTCTTGTTTATTTATTTTTTTTTTTGGACACTCCCAATTGTATAGAGCGCTATTTAAAACTTTATATTTAGAACTCTCTATCACTTGTCCAAATTTTAAAAAGAAAGACAACAATAGATAGACGCCTATTTGGTATGATGATAAGGATTAATTTAATTCACTAAAAAACAAAATAAATTAAAATATTATATCTAAATTATAATTATTTCACTTTTTCTCTCATAAAACTATAAAAGAAAATTAAAAATTTATTCCAAACAAAACTTTTTTAACTAAGTTAAAATAGTTGCCAAGAAAAAAGTCAAGGCTAAAAAAATTCTCCTCAAATAAATGCAGAGAAAACAAAACCAAAAACATTATTAATTTGGGAATTGGACGTACCATTGATCCAATGCTTTTTGGGTTGGAAGTGAAAGCCAGTTCTGTGGAGTTGCTTCACTTCAACGGCGGCAACAACAGATTGGTACTCCATGTACACTTTGTGTGATCCGTCAACCCCACCATTGTTAAGTAAAACTATACCACACAATATCAAATCCACCAAAACCCAAAGAAACCTAGAAGAGGCCACCATTGGAATGAAACAAAACATAGATAGATCTTATTTATGGAGAGAGAGAGAGAATGAGAGGGTTTTGAGATTGAAAGAATATGAGGATTGGGTTATATATAGAGAAGGTAGCATAGCATAGGATTAAAACTGGATAAAATTCATATTATTATTATGGGTTAATTACAAATACAGTCGTTGTAATTTGTTTAAAGTATGAAATATCTCATATAATTTTAAATTTTACAAATACTTCTTTGTTAGAATTTTTTATTTAGCGGGATTAATCAAAAAAATAAATTTTCTAACTGTTCTCTTATATAACTATAAAGTTATCTGAATTATTAATTGAAGTATATTACATCATTAAAAATTCGTATTGACTTGATAATTTATTAATAAAATTAACTAAAATGCCCTTTTGACAAATAAGGGCAAATTACTTACACCCTATTGAGATTTAGTTAAATGACAGATTCCCCCTGAGGTTTAGTTAAATTACAGATTCCCTCCTGAGATTTAGCTAAATTATCATTTTTAAATAAGTTATGAAATACAAAATTAAAAACGAATAACACTTACAAAAAAATTAAGACTTTAGAGACCAAAATTTATGGACAAAATTATTTTTAGGGGACCAAATATTTTTCTTGAGAAAAGTGTCGTCATTATATTTTTAGTAACGAAAATTGAACATTAGTGATTAATTATTATCTTTTTGGTATCAAATTTTTTGTCTCAAAAAATAAATCATTTTGAGACCAAATTATTTTGTCCCTAAAAGTTAATTATTATTGACATCTTCGAAATTTTATCGCTAAAAGCCTTATTTTTTACTTTTCATGACGATCTTTTAGTTGACTATCTCACGACGATAGAAATTAGTCCCTAAATGTCTTTTGCAACAAAATTTTCACTTTTATAGATCAAAAAAAATAGTCTCTAAAACTCTTATATTTTGTAGTATCAAATGGTAAAAATATCAAAAAATTAGCAAATAATTAAATAAGTTAAAAACACAAGAAATGGCTTGTCAAAAAATTCTTACAATATGTTTGGTTTGATTTTTAGAAATTTATTTTTTTTAAATTAAAAATTAATTTGGTTAAGAAATAAAAAATAAAAAATAATTTAGTGTGTTTGGTTTTAGTTTTCTGAAAACTAAGTTTTTTGTTTTTCGTATTTTTTCTTTTTAGTGAATATTTTTAAAATTTTAAGCAATTTTTTTACTTTTTTAGATGCACCTTACTTAGATGTATCTAAATAGTAAAATATTTATGAAAAATATATTTTAAAAAATTAATAAATACACAAAAATATGAAAAATGTACTGAATTTTCATATTTTTTGGTATTTAGTAAATTTTTTAAAGATGTTTTTCACAAATATTATACTTTTTAAGTGTATTTATGATAGGTGTGTCAAAAAAAATTTAAAAAAGAAATTGCTTAAAATATTAAAAAAATTCATTGAAAACATTAAAATACAAAAAATAAAAAAGTAGAATTTTCTGAAAACTGTTTTCTGAAAATCAAAACCAAACAAGTAGATTATTATTTTTATATAATTTTATCTTTTGAGTGGTTAGAAATAATTTTTACAAATTAAATATATTTTTTCATATTTATTAGGAATGCTCTCTCCCTAGACTGGATATCTTTTCCTCATTTGGCTCTTACTGCTTCATTAAGGTTGGCCTAGTTTGTTGTGTTTTGGTTGTGTTCCCTGTTTGTTTTCATCTGATCAAAAAAAAAAAAAAAAAGTTGGTGGCCACAAGTGTATAAAAATTGATTCTTAGCTTTGAAAAATTATGTGGTGATCTTAGGATAAGGCCACATAGTACTCTTAATTTGATATTATTAATTGAAAACATAGAACTCGATACTTTTTGTTAAGATATTGAAAAACAACTTAACAAGTGTCAATTGGTGTAGAACATTTACTCCTAGACCACCAAATATCCTCTCCTTATCTCTTACAAGTTTTGTGCCAAACTTTGACAACTCAATTTTCCAAAATCAACCAAAAAATAACTTTATTTAGTTTGTATAATGTTTAGTATGCTAGAGGCAAGTTGGTGGCCACAAGTGTATAAAAATTGATTCTTAGCTTTGAAAAATTATGTGTTGATCTTAAGATAAGGCCACATAGTACTCTTAATTTGATATTATTAATTGAAAATATAGAACTCGATACTTTTTGTTAAGATATTGAAAAACAACTTAACAAGTGTCAATTGGTGTAGAACATTTACTCCTAGACCACCAAATATCCTCTCCTTATCTCTTACAAGTTTTGTGCCAAACTTTGACAACTCAATTTTCCAAAATCAACCAAAAAATAACTTTATTTAGTTTGTATAATGTTTAGTATGCTAGAGGCAATGTTGTATGGAACTTGCAAGGCTTGTCACTAAAGGTGATTTTCCTTTTCTATGAAATACACGTTCTAAAGGAACCAACATAGGGCATTACGCCTTAGACCACCAAATACCCTCTCCTTATCTCTTAAAAGGTTTGTGCCAAACTTTGTCAACTCAATTTTCCAAAATCAAACAAAAAATAACTTTATTTAGTTTGTATAATGTTTAGTATGCTAGAGGCAATGTTGTATGGAACTTGCAAGGCTTGTCACTAAAGGTGATTTCCTTTTCTATGAAGTACACATCATAAAGAAACAAACATATATGAACTTGATTTTCATACTATTGTCTTCCCCACTAGCTAAGATGGTGAAAGAAATTGAAAGCATAATATTCTTACACATTTTGAGATATTGCCAGAAAGAATATGTTATACAATGCAGTCGTAGAAAAAAATCACATTAATTGATGAAAAAAAATGCATCAAGTGTGCAACTTCAATTTTCAATACGAAGATTTTTTTGCCACAAACATCTCAACTTTATGATCCACTGACTAATAAGATGCATTTGTAATAATTGTACCGAACATAGAGTTGCCTTGCATCGAAGAACTTAGTTGTGAGGCCACATCCATGCGAGTATTTTGTAATATTTCTTTCTCACATTTTTGTGTCTCTAGCAAAGTTGGTCTTGCATTAGTCGTTAAATTGTTAGATGCAAAACTTGATTTAAATATCAAGCTTTTTAACCAATAAATGGTAGCATTTGCAAGGAAAACAAACAAAATAAAGGCACCAACTGCTCAAACTCAACGTTCGGATCCAGTTTTTCTCACTCCAAGTTTTGAACTTTATGGTTGAATTAGTAAATTAACACGAGTAACAAATGCAGTGAACGAAAATGTCAATAGCTTTTAGCCTTCATTTGGTTTAGTTTTAAAATTATAATTTAAATGTGCAGTTGTGATTTAAGTACGGAGTTGTGAATTGAGTTTTGAAAAGAGAAAATTTGTTTGGTTATAAGTTTTGAAAAAAGTTTTTAAATTTTGAAAAAATTTGAGTTTTGAAAGGAATTTGATAATTTGAGTTTTGAGTTTTTGAATTTTGAATTGTATTTTGAACTTTTTTAGATTTTTTTTAAAATAATTAAAAATGTTTAAGAAAATTTTATTATTTTTATTTTAAATATATTTTTTATTTTAATTTTTTAAAATTTTTTATTTTAAATATTTTGTAAATATTTTAATTTATTTAATATTTTAAACCCAAAACGCAAGTTCATACTCAAATCGTAACCAAACACATATAAGCTTTTACGTTGGCTTAGTTTGATTCGTTACAAAAAATTATTTTTAGTGATGATTTTACTAGTACTTACTTTTAATAAGATTTTATGGAAATTAAATTCAACTATTAGAACCTATTAACCCTAAAAAAAATATTACATTTGGAGGGTTGGATTACAAAGAAAATTATGTTAAATTATTTAATAATGTTATACTGACTAAATTTTATAATCAAAATTTAAATATCATAATATGTATTATGACATATATTTCAATATACTTAAGTGGATGTGCACACATACATATGTGCTACCAAATCTATATGGCAATCCAGTTTTTTTTTTAATTTTTTTAAAAATTAAATATTTAAAAAAAGAAAAAAATATTTTTAAAAATATTAAAATATTTAAAAAGATATTCATGAATCAAAAATATATAATTAAAATAAAATAAAATAAAAATACTTAAAATAACGATTATATATTTAAAATAAAAAAATATTTTTTAAAAAATTTTAAATATTTTTAAAAAATACAACAAATAAATGTATGAAATATAGTGCACATTAAAGTAAAAAAATAAACATTTAAAATATAAAGTATTTACCATAAAAAAATAAAATAAAGAAATTTTTTAAATATTCCAAAAAATTTCAAAATACAACTCAAAACTCTTTTCAAAACTCATACCAAACAAATTTTCTTTTTTCAAAACTCATAACTCAAAACATGACTCCACACTTAAATCATGATTTTAAAAATAATTTTAAAAAACAAAATAAAATCAAATTTTTGAATTTTTTTTAAAAATAGAGTTTTGAAAAGAGTTTTAAATTGTGTGTTTGGTTATGAATTTTGAAAATAGTTTTGGAATTAAGTTTGATATGTTTTTGAGTTGTGTGTTTGGTTATAAGTTTTAAGTTTTGAAATTTTTTTATTGGAATCATAATTTAGAAACAGAACCAAACACAGGCTTAGATTTTTATTTTTAATGTAGTACACTATAGGTATGATGGGGTGACCGTTGGTTCAATGGTAAAACCTTAATTTAATAATCTCAAGATTATGGGTGCAAGTCATGAGACAATCATTTTGTGCAGTATATCAAAAGTTAGGTATGTATCCAATTTTTCTCTTCCCAACTCACATTATTTTTTTTACACTATATGTATGATGTGTTTACTCTTTGATTACATTAATAAAAAATTTCACTGTTCAAAAAAATGTTACATATGTAAAATATGATTTGATATTCACCTAATTATCAAATATGATCTTTTACCCATTCCTACCCTCGGCCAAAAAACGAGAGAATTGTAAATATAAATTTCATAACATAAACCTTACACTTTGTGATCATTTACCAAGTGTATTATCAAGAAATTAAGACAAAATGACATACCTAAATCCATCGATGAACGGTTA